GCTTAAATTTTGCTGCCGGATTCTTCCCTTGTGGCACCAGGCCACTGTAGGCACTATAGAGGTCTGTGACCCAATTTGGAATGTACAGGCCACGGGGCATAGTGAATAACTAGAATTTGTACAACCTCATGCAACTTATAATCTCTGGGAATCTGTCTATTATGCCATTAATAGACAACCTCTTCTCCTCTATAATGGTCCTCAACACCTCAGTCTTCATTCTGTTAATAGACCTGGGAGGAGGACCCTGTACCACTAGTGCTAGGTCCACAAACTGTGCTAAAGCAAAAGAGGTAGTGGTGGCCTGGGGTGTCTTGATCTTAGACGGATCATACATCCTTTTGGATAATAGCTCCACCCTCTGGGCTACTAGTATCTCAACATCCTTAGGCACAAAATTGGTAGCCTGAGTATCTTGGTGCTCACCCTCACTCTCAGAATTGGTGAGGTAAGTGGCATAGATCCTGTCACTATCAGAGCTGGCCTTAGGTGATGCAGGATCATGTGCTTTTCCTTTCCCTTTTCCCTTCCCACATATGGTGGGAAGCTTGGTAGGCTTAGCCTTGGACGCAACTGCATCCTCATTGATTATAATTCATTTGGCCCTCTTGCGGGGAAGCATGTCTCTACCATCCACTTTTGGTCTAGCCATATCTACAAATACATCATAGAGAGTATGAAATAGTTCAAACAAAGTTGTAGAAAAATAATTGTAGACAGACTGACCGAATCACTTTGGCGAGCCATGTTGGGCTCGCCGAAAGGATTGGCTCAAAATTTCTCATAAAAAATGGCATGTCGGCAGTGGCACCATTTTACCGGGGATCTTGATAAACGTAATCTTCATCCATGTTTTAACCACTTCCTAGTCATCAATCTTGTGTTGTGAGTTGGACATCTTTGTCACCTAGCATTTCAACTTATTTATTCGACATTAAAGGTTACCTTTTTGAACCCAGAACTTGTATTTCGCAATTTTTACTCATTTTCAAGGGTTTTAATCTTAATGATGTGTGTTGCGCCTCTCATATCTTTAATTGTTTGCTTGGGTGCGCGTTTTAATTTAATTTTCATGCCTAAAATGCTTGTATTGTTGATTTCTCGAAATGTGTGCTTTAAACTTGATCAAAATTATTGGGTTATGCTAAAATTATATTAGGTCTAGTTGGGTGAAGTCTAAGTAACCCGCATTTGTTCCAAATGATGCACTTCGCCCAATGATAGAGTGGTTGACGTCTTTCCTAAGGGCTAAATGTGTCAAATGGCCAAATTTGGCAAAATCTAGAGATGTCTGAGTAACCTGGGGGCATGGGTTGCATGGTTCTTGGTCTAATTGTATTAGTGTGTAGTTTGATTTTGTTTTTGGTGGCTGCGGGGTTGAATTTGGAAGTTGGGGTTGAAAGTAGGCACGCTGGGTAGTTTTGCGAGCTAGGTCGGGCCCGCCGAACCACTCGGTGGTTCACCGAATTCCCCCTTATCGCCTTTAATTTCATGCTAAAATAGATTTTGGGTAATGTAACTTTTGGCGAGAAGCCTGAGTTCACCGAGTGGACTAAGCGACTCATCAAAAGTCTTTCTTGGGCTCCCGTTCTGCGCCCCTAACCCCTAAAATACACTATAACTTTCGATGGGCTAGTCCGTGATTGTCGAATGCTATTGGAGATTCATCGAAATGGCCCTTAGATCGACGACATGCAAATTTTTCTGAGAAATTTTGAGCAAATCCTTTTGCCGAGCCTGACTTGGCGAGCCTGACTTGGCTCGCCAAAGTTATTCGGTGACTCGCTGACTTGTTCGGCGAGCCTGTCTGCAACTATTTTTCTGCAACTTTGTTTGAACTATTTCTTACTATCAACGATGTATTTGCAGATTTGGCTAGACCAAAAGTGGTTGGTAGAGACAAGCCGCCCCGCAAGAGGGCCAAAGGAATTACAATCAACGAGGATGCTGCTGCCTCCAAGGCAAAGGCTACCAAGTTTCCCACCACAGGTGGGAAGGGAAAAGGGACAGGAATAACACATGCTCTTGCGTTACCTAAGGCAAGCTCCAATAGTGACGGGATCTATGCCACTCACCTCACCACTTCTGAGAGTAAGGGTGAGCACGAAGATCCTTGGGCTACTAATTTTGAGCTTGAGGATGATGAGATACTAGCAGCCCAAGGGCGGAGATGCGATCCAAGAGGATGAATTATCCATCTAGGATAATGACTCTCCAGGCCACCACTACTTCTTCTGCTCCATCACAAGCTGTGGTCTTAGTACTACCGATATAGGGTCGTCCTTTTTGGACAATGAATAGACTACAGACGGAGGGGCTGAGGACCATTATAGAGGAGAAGAGGTTCTCTACTGATGGCGTAACAGACAGATACCTAGAGATCATGAGCTACCTGAGGTCGCACAAATTCCAGCTTTTCACTAAGCCCCATGGCGCGTACATTCCAAATTGGGTTAGAGACTTCTACAGTGCCCTGATGCCACAAGGAAAGAAGCTGAGAGCCAAATTCAAGCCGGTTGACTATGTGGTTGTCAGGGGTAAAAAGGTGCAATGTGATATTGATGTTATCAATGCAATCATGGGGGTTTCAACACTGATTGAGGATGATTGCCAATATAAGATCAGGACAAAGACGTTAGAAGACATGAAGAAGTGGTTGGCTCATCTGATATCAAACGGTACTCCTAAGTGGCTCGAGGTTGAAGAACCTATTGAGAAGAAGGACCTAAATCTAGTAGCAAGGTTTTGGTTTGGCTTCATTAGCAATACCGTCATGCCATCCCAGAATGAGTCGATTTTCCACCACACCAAAGCAGCCTTTCTTGGTTGCATCATTGATAGGACAAGGTTGAACATGGGGATGATTATTGTACAAGAGATGGTCATGAGGGCCAAGCAATGCAAAACTTCTCTCCCATTTTCAGTGTTGATCACCAAGCTGTGCAGGGAAGCTCGGGTGCCTAGAGATGAGAAGAAGGATATGAAAGTGACTCCCACATCCTGTACAAACATTCAGAGGATTGAGGTAGAGTATTTGAACGATGAAGCAAAAAAAAAAAGGCAGGCATGGTGGACTATTCCCCGATTGTTAATACTCAAACCCTACTCTTAGCTCCTCTGCATTCTCCTTGCCTCCTAGGTCGACTGTTGTTACTGTTGGTCGGCCCTCGCTCACCCAAGCGGCATTACTACGGATGGGCCAGCTAGCCCATTCTATTGATCGATACACCGCCAGACTTGAGGCCACCATCCTCGTATGATCGAGAGGACCCTTGCCAATGTTGTGACAACACTAAGTATGACTATTGATGCCTCTGCGACATGTATAGCGGTGTGTGAGCAAGGCCAAGGGAAAACTATTTAGGTGATGGCTTTGAAGGTCGCTATTGCTGAGCTGAGGAGATATGTGGACCAGCTGAAGTCCACCGACATGTCAATGATTTTTGGGACAATAGAGATCCCTGATGTGCCAATTGATCCAGATATTCCTTTGGCTACCATCGGAGATGAGGTCCACAATGATGAGGTAGTTGTTGTTGAGTTCGAGGCTCAAACCGATGAGGAACAACTGGGTGTTGATGAGGAGGCTTCTAATGAGGGACTTACAGAGATTGAGGAGGCCAAGGTCAAGTCAGTTGTGCATATCTCTTTGGGAGACACTCCCTTGGCTGACCCTAGTTGTGCTAGTACTGTTGATGTTACATCGGGCACTGATGCCCCGACTGATGGAGAGACTATGTAGACAAAACTTTTCTTTACCTCCCTCTCTGTAACTTTTATTGAATTTTGGATGTTTTTATTGCATTTGAGGACAAATTACTTTTTCTTTGTGGTGGGGTGAGGTATTTCCATACCCACCTCTTTTGATTATTATTTTGTTTATACATTGGGTTTTGTGATGTAAATTTCATTTTGGCACTATTTGCGGATGTTTGAGCTTTTGGCTCCTTGTTTTATTGTAAATGGTTTTTTGATCCTTTTGAAAAAAATTGTGCCACCTCTTGGTTTTGTGTTACTATGGTTATTCTTGTGCAAATTTGAGTATCGGTCTTGATCTATTCCGATAGCTTGAATTTTGGTCTTAATCGAACAAAAATGAATGTGCGGATATGATGAGGCCAAGTGAAGTTGCTTAGGCAATATGTGAACTTTTTGAATGTCGTTGTGACTAGCCGGTTATGGAATAGAGGTTGTTTTGATGAACATTGCACACTAGCGAGAGTGTGGAGCCTTGTTTGATACTGGTGCCAATGCCTTGTGTGATTAGCTTACCATGAACCATGTGTGATGACACACAGAATTTTCCCCATTGGTCCGGTTCACTAACTGATGCAATCTCTTGAAATTATGTTAAGCAACAATTTTAAATAGTGAAACAATTTGACTTTATACCTCTTTTGTGGCCAACCTTGTTAGTGTGTGAACTTTTCTTGAACATCCTTTGAGCCTTAGACTTTTACTAGGAAGAAACTTGATATAATTGTAACCCTCTCTTTATCCATTCACCTATAATCCTCATGAAATGTGGTTTGTTTGAATAGCCAACTTAGGCCAAAAGCCTAAGTTGGGGGGTGTGGTGAAAAGAGAAGGTAAATCAAGAAGTGCAAATATAGTCTCCCTTGATCCATGATTTTGAGAATGATGGACCCCTACATACAAAAAAAATGAGAAAAGAACAATAAAAAGATACCAATTGTTGGTTTTTTAGTAAAGAAATAAAGAAAATAACAAAGAAAGACTTTGAGAGAAAAAATACTGCAGTATTATCAAAGGGAATTATTTTATTAATAATTCAAAAACTTGCATTTATAGATATAATTCCTAGCTAAAAATAGAAAAATAAGATACTACATATCAACTTAATTCAAATAACAAATAAAAAGAACTAACTCCTAAATATAAGTCAAATAGTACTCTAATAACAAAATTTAAAAGTCCTAAAAATAGCTAACTGTTTTATTTTTGCAATATCCTCAGACATATTCTCAACACTCCTTGGATCAGGAATTGTAGATTGCAGTCTCATCTGAAATTGACCTTGTGAAGAAATCTGCTAATTCATCCTCTGTCTTGCAAGGCTTGTGTGCATCTTCTGTTGGATTAAATGAGAAGCTCTTACTTCTCATTTCAACTTGTAAAAACTCTTGCTTAGTAGAATAAAAAATTCGACAATATTTGTCTCCAAATAATAATTTAAATCCTTTTTCTGTTAGCTGACCAACACTAAACAAACTTTTATCAATATCAGGCACATAAAGAACCTCTGAAATTATTTTTGTACCTGAATTTGTTTTAATTGAAACAGACAATTTTCCTTTTGTAGGAATACAATCACCATAACAAATTATGACTTTCTTATTTTCCATAGGAATGAACTCTTTAAAAAGATTTCTTTCATATGTCATGTGGTTTGTACAACCACAATCAATCATCCAAAAATCATATTTTTTGGTTGAAAAACAAGTTCCCACAAATAAGTGGTCTTGTTCTTCTTCTTCAGTAGTAACTTGGGCAACTGTTTCATCTTTTTGAAATTTGCTTTTGCAAATCACAGCTTCATGACCAAGTTGTTTGGAGTTCTTACACTGTGCATCTGGTCTTTTCCAACTTTTATATGGATGATGTCCATTTTTTCCACAGTGCTGACAAGGTTGGTAATTTTTAAAAATTTTACCCTTGCTTTGAGTTTTGTGGCTGGCTACTAAAGCTCCTTCAACCATGCGATCTTGCCTCAAAAGTCTCCTTTCTTCGTCAGCCTGCCAAGAATTTAACAATTCTGCCAAGGATATTTTGGACAGATCTTGTGTGTTTTCCAAGGTAGTTATACATGCTTCATATCTTTCGGGCAATGTAACAAGAACTGTTTCAACAATTCTTGTTTCTTTAAATTCGTTGCCTAGTAATCTTACCTTATTGACAATTCCAAACAATCTATCAGAGTATTCATTGACTGTTTCTGACTCTTTCATTCTCTGCAGTTCGAATTCCCTCATTAAATTTAATACCTTCATTCCTCGTATTCTTTCATCTCCAGCATATTCTTTATTCAGATAATTCTAAATATCTTTTGGTGATGTGAGAGTCATGATTTTCGTGAAAACACTTATCGAAATAGCAGCAAACAATGTTGCTTTTGCTTTCGACTTTATGATTTTCTTTTCCTTGTGACTCTTGATCTGGGCCACGGTGGGATTATTTGGCAGCGGATTAATTTCATAATCCTCTTCCACGGCTTCCCAAAGATCAAGAGACTTCAAGTAAGTTTCCATTCCCACAGCCCATAGTTGATAATTCTCACCATAAAAAATAAGAGGAGCTATTCGTGAAAAAAATATCAGAGCAGGCAAAGGTCTTGAGATCAAATCTCAAAATAATGAAAAAAGTTGAGAAATAAAGTGTGACAGTTGCAAAAAAAATGAGGTTTCCAAAGTTTCATGGAAAATGAATAATAGGGTGAGCTTTGAGCATGAATGAGAATGATAAAGAAAAGACAAGAAAATAGTGTTCATACCACATTTCATGAGGAAAGCAGACAGTTAGTCTAAATGACCATATCTTTACACTCATCCCCGTTACAAGCCTTGAAAAGACCTTTTTGATCATGAGTGAGCTGAAACAATTGTTAGTTGGGTAATAAGGGCAAACCTATGGGTGAAGTCATGCATGTGGTCATCTTTGTGAGTGTGAGAGTTGTATGTGATTGCGGAGCTTTAAATTGTAGAAGAGTATTGTGTGAATATGGAATCATTCTTTGTGTGAGGCATTTGAGTACTTTTGTTGAGCTTAAACTTGCATTTGAAGAAAGTATTGTGACTTGAGAATCTTTGGTAATGGTGAGTCACAACATGAACCTTTGAGTGCACAGTTGATCCTTGAATGAGTAAGTTGAGTCTTGTTGTATGCATTCATGATTGAGTCTTGTATAGCACTGTTTGAGACATCCTTTTTGAACTATTTAACTTGAGTTTTACTTGAGCACAAACAAAATTTTAAGTTGGCAGTGTTGATGAGTTCGAGATTTGGACTCATTTAGGGCTTTAATTATAATGATTTAGTATCCTCAAATTCTTATTTTGTGCCAATAACTGATGAAAAATCCTTTATTTCAAGGTATATGGACTGAGGAACAAAGTGTTGACACTAATTTGCAAAAAGAAACAAAGCCAACTGAAAGAACGAGGAAAAGAGAGTTTGGTGATTGCCAAGTCCATATGGCGAGTCACCGAATTGCTATTGGACCGCCTAAAGTTCCAGTGTGCCAAGCCTCGAAGGGGAAAACCAAGTTGGCGAGAGAAAGGAGCAGTCGATGAGTGGTTCCGCGATGCAGTGTTGGATCGCCCAAAGTTACAGAAGTTGAGGATATTGAAGGCCAAACCAGAAAGACGATGGAACTAATAACCAAAGGGCAGATCGGCGAGCCTGACCTACTGCACCGAATGGTCATTCGCAACATATTTTTGGTGACTATAAATTCATTTTCAAACATTAATTTTAATATCTGATTTTATCATGTTTTATTAGTTTATGGATATTCAGACTTATTATTAAATTCTTAGTATTGAGACTAGTTTTTCCTAAGCTTTGGAGAATTGATGTTTTTCACTTTAAAAAAATTAGAAGTGGGTCTTTGAGATTCTTCAACATGGAGCATTGTAAGGACGAAATTAATCTTACCTAGTTGATGGAAACACAATTTGGTAACGATTTTTATTTTTTTAGGATGTCTAGCTAAAACCCCAATTCTTGGGGTGTGATTATGGGCTGATTTAGTTTATGGATATTGCTAATTTTTAGTTTAAATGTTGTTTAGAAGTGAATTTAATCAGTAATTTCGCGTTAATTTAAGAATTGTACTTGCAAATGCAGTTCTACCTTTGTGTTTTTGGCATGCGAGAGAGAGGTTTTAAAACCAACGTTATTGATTGATGGTCAGTAGGTACTGGGTTGACATGTGTTCAGCTCGAAAGAGTGAATCCTAAACTCAGTCCCACATATTCAGCTAGAGAGAGTGAATAGACTAAGGTGTAGGTTAGTCTTATTTTGCTTGCTTGTTAGTGTTCAAGAGAAACCGACTTGATCCAGGGTAAATTGCTCCAAAGAAAGTTTATTCCCTCTATGGCTTAGCTTACTCACTAATATTCAGTTATTTCCTAAGAGTTGAAATTACCTGATTGTCTATATTAGCATATAATTGAATCATATCCCAAGAACCTGTCTCATTATTGTTTTTTCATATTGTTTGTTGTTGTTGTAGCTGATAATTAGAACCAAAACCCCCATATTATTTGACATTCGTGTCACCCCCTGATTTGAATTATGTTTTCATTCGATAATACCTATTCCTATGATTGATTTGACCATGTTCAGACTTTGCTATTGAATCTTGAACACGTATCGCTCCCTGTGGGATTCGACCCCAACTCACTGAGTAGCGATCGTTCACACATATAATTCAATGAAATGTCCTTTAAACGTTAATCAAGTTCCTCCCAAAAGGGGAAATCAACTTTGGAATTGATCTCCTTCCAGATACCCAACCTATTTCTATTCCTCCTTACCAAATTGCTCCAACTAAGATTAAGGAATTGAGAGACCTACTGAAAGACCTTCTGGATAAGGGCTTTATCAGCTCTAGTATTTCCTCATGGGGTGCACCAGTGTTGTTCGTGAAGAAGAAAGATGGTTCTCTCAGAATGTGCATTGACTATAGGTAGTTGAACAAATTCACAGTCAATAATAAGTATCCTAACCCCAGGATTGATGACTTGTTTGAGAAACTACGGGGTGCTAGTCATTTATCAAAGATAGACCTCTAATCCGTTTATCATCATGTCAAAGTCATAGTTATTGACATCTCGAAGATAACCTTCAGAACTCGGTATGGTCATTATGAATTTGTAGTTATGTTATTTGGACTAACCAATGCTCCTACAACTTTCATGGACTTGATGAACAGAGTGTTCAAGAAGGATTTGGACCTGTTCGTTATCGTCTTTATTGATATTGTCCTCACTTACTCTAGGAATGTGGAAGAACATGTGAATCATTTGAGGGTTGTCCTCCAAACTAACAAAGATCGCCAGTTATTCGCTATGTTTAGTAAATATGAGTTTTTCTTGCAATCTGTTGCTTTCCTCGGTCATATAGTGTCTAGTGAAGGGATCTTATTGGATTTTCAGAATATAGAAGTAGTGAATCAATGGCCTAGACCTACATCTCCAACACATATCAAAAGCTTCTTGGTTCTGGCTGGTTATTGTAGAAGGTTCGTGGAAGGATTTTCATCCATAGCCCCTCCATTGAATAAGTTGACCTAGAAAAATGTCAAGTTTTAGATGTCAAATAATTGTGAGAAAAGCTTCGCAGAACTGAAAACTATGTGGACCAAAGCTCCTGTTTTGACTCTGCTAGAGGGTTCCGACGGTTATGTGATCTATTCTGATGTATCCAGAGTCCGCATAGGTTGTGTGGTGATGCAGCGAGGTAAAGTTATAGCTTATTCTTCTAGAAAACATAAGGTGCATGAGAAGAATTGTTAGACTCATTACCTGGAGCCTGCAGCAGTGATGTTTGCACTTGTGATTTTGAGACATTACTTGTATGGTGTTCACAAACCATAAGAGCCTGTAGTATGCGTTCACCCAAAAATAGTTGAATCTTTGCCAGAGGAGGTGGCTTGAAGTCCTCAAAGATTACGATATGAGTGAGTATTACCATCTTGGTAAGGCCAATGTAGTAGCACATGCCCTCAGAAGACTAACTATTGGTAGTGTAGCAAAAAGAATGATAGCATCCAAGGAAGCTCTACTCCATTGAGGGACAAGGATGACGCTTTAGAAACTCCAAGGAGGCCCATAACAAGATCTCAAACCAAGGAGTTCAATGATAAGCTCAATGGGCTTCAATCGCTGATCCAAAGGTTTCTTATTGGGGAAGAAGAGCTCAAGCCCAAGGGAGAGGAATTGTCCAAATGCTACAATTATTTGGTGGCCCAAATTCAAGCCCAAGATGAGGAATTTTAAGGTCCAATTTCGTGCAAAAAAGGTCAAGAAGAGTCCAAGAATCAGCCACAACAAGAGTTGCTTTCTGCCCAAGTTTTGAGAGAAGACTAGTCAAACTTTCCAAGATTGTCAAGATTCTTTTCCTAGTTGGGATTTACCTTATTTATTTATTTATATATAGGTTATTAATATTTTCCTTAGTCTATTTATGGTCTCCTAAGTACCATTTAATGCTTTCCTAGAAGTACTAAATTTGTTCCTAGTTAGGTTACTTTATTTCCTTTCTAGAGTAGGATTCCTTGTAATTGTTTTTTTAGGGTTTGGCTTCTTGGACGTTTTTCCCTTCTCCTATATATAGGAGTCCTTTTCATTCATTAAAGACAATTTAGATGGATATTAATAATATTTGAGAGAGTTCTTTGAACCTTTGTGACTTGTTCTTTGAGAATTTATCTTTAAACCTTTACTAGTTTCATAGTTTAAGGTATAAAGTAACTTCTTCTTGTGATATCTTTGGTTTCTTTTTGGTATTCTTTAGAAGGTGATTAGTTTCTACATACTAATTATTGTCTTTAGTTACTCATAAAGCGGTCAAGGTCCAAATCTATCGTTTTGATTCGTTTTCTCAAGTAAAGGCGTTAGATTTCTTCCATAAATCTATACGTTGTTACTTGGATCTTTTCAAGGCCTTAGAACATCTAATCTTTGGAAATTCGTGGATCTTTCCTTCGAATTTCCCATATCTTTATTTAGTTTTTTTGTTTCTTTTCTTTGTGCTTCCGCATTCTAATATTTAATTCTCTATTTGTGATCTCCCTTAACCTTGCTGTTATCAAGTGGTATCAAAGCGGTTCTATCAAGATTCCGTTCTTGATAAATCTTGGGATTTCTTCTTAGAGCAACAAAAAAAAAATAAAAAAATAGCGTGAACAGTAGCGTCGTGAAAAAAAAAAAAAAAATAAATTATTACAGTTGCGTGAACAGAAAAAAAAGTTATAACTTGCTCTCTAAGAAATCTGATTACTTGTCCTCCAAGAAATTTGATTACTTGATACCCAAGAAAGCTTATTACTTGCTATTCAAGAAATCTTATTACTTGCTCTCCAAGTAAACTTATTACTTGCTCTCCAAGTTTTGCATTAATTTGTTTCCAAGCAAGAAGGTACCAAGAAGAGGGGATTCTAGACCTTTAAGAATAAGAGGAATTTTTTTTTCTTGTTCTTATAATTCTAAAATAAGTTCCTTTTTATTCGCGTTTTGTTTCAACT